AGAGAGATTACTCCCTGTTTCGGCTAGTCCCTGTCCTGTCCTTTCATCAGCCCCTGCAGCACCCTACGGCATGGCTCTGGAGCCCCAAAGCCCTCTGTCGTACAATCAGCACCACAGACCCCAGTGCTGCTATGATAAGGCTGTGGTAAGAGCGGGTTGCAGCTGGCATGCATTGCAAAAGTGTGGCAAATCCATTCAGCCCTCCCTCTTCTTGGTACAAATGAGTAAGGCATAAACATGGTGTGAATTGATTGAGTGGTCATCTTAGCAACATTATTTCTTGTGTCTTTCCCAGCCCCTGGCTTGCATATTACCTGTGCAGCCCCACATATGGCCTATTTCTTCCATATCTCTGAAGGGTGACTTCCCTCAGCTCCACCCACAGCCTCCTGTTCCCAGCAGGGGCACAAGGCTTCATTTGCTTCTTCTTTGTAAGAGAGCATATCCATTTGCTCAGAAACATCAGGCATCAGGTCTTTGGCTTCCCATGGCAGTTGGGCAGGAGAAGTTGAAGGATTGACCAGGGCACGGTACTGACATTGGGATAGGGAATTGCCTGCCTTTAGCTTGATGAAAATGAGCTGACAGCTCTTCTCTGTAGCAGTAATATTAATGTACAAGAAAGCTGAGTTTATATTCAATGGATGGATGAATGGATGGATGAATGGATGTGTGCAGACCCTTGGACAACAAAAATCAACTTGCATAGAATTTCGTATTTCAGACCTGGCGTCCTTCTTAAAACTGAAAGTTCTGCATTAGATAAGCCTCGCCGTATTCCCTAGTGCCTGTGAAGCAGAGCATGGAACATATGAAGCCAGAAAGTGAACAAACTTTGGCAAACTCTAGAACTAGATGCCCTGCTTCAAGGCTAAGACATGGTGCTTCTACAGCAATTCCTTGAAGCTTTGTGTTTGCAAATAGATGAAAACAATGTTAAAGGTCAGCTTATGTGGCACCTTTCGAAGTGCTAAATTCATTAAAGAGATGAGCGCTGAAAGCGATGACAAGTGGAATGGCATTGTATTGTCCAAAGTGCAACGCTTCATACATGGAAAGGTGTGGTGGTTTCCCCTTCAAAGTGCTTCTTTAGGGAACATCGTAGTTCATTGATCTGGCTTAGCAGTCTCCTCCCTGTGGATAATTTGCACATTGCAGAAGCTCATTCACTAGGCTTTCTGGTTTAGATTCTAGCCCTGTATTGCTAGAAAAAGCAGCTAGTGAACTTAATTCAAGGCTGTGGCTGGGCTAGGGAGTGCTTGCTTTCATAAACTGATATTTGGAAGTGAGTACTTAAGTCCCAGAAGGGATCTGTAGAAGTGCAATTCTAAATAAAAATAAACCATCATAATGCAGCTGCTTTCAGGTAAGCATCGAGAAAATACACCCGAATTTATATCTGTAAATGGTAATTTTTGCAGCATTTTTACAGTTACAGTATGGATTTTAAAGTGATAGCATATTAAGTTAAAATTGTAATGCTTTTAAAACTGTCATAACCTTAGCTAGACTGAATGTAAAGATGTTATTTACCTGCAGCTGTAGTCTGCTTAGCACACAGCCATTTTAAAATTATGTGTATCAAGCAGCACTGCAATCACAGGGTGCATAGCAGAGGCTTCATCCCGCAGAATGCTGATGATATCTGAGGGCTGTGTAATACTTCCGTTTCTTACTGAAGCATACGCAGAAGGCATCCCTTTGAAGCACTCAGCAACTTTAAAATTTGGTCAGTGTAGTCATGGTTTCCTTTATTGGTCCTTCTTGGAAAACACCCCTTAGCCTTCCTGAGGGTTTGACAACAAGAGCAAAAAGGCAGTCCACCTCTCTTCCCTACTGTTGAGGTGTATCTACGTGTGCTTGGACTCAGCAGTCCTATAAAGATCGAAAGAAGCTCACAGCTGACTGGCAATTTGTTTCAGGCATCCTGTGAACAGCGGTGTCAAGTCCCAGGCTTCAGTTCAAGAAAGCTCTGAAGCACGCGCTTCATTTTAAGCATATACCTAACACAGCCCTTAATGCCTTTCTGAGCTGGGTGAGTGTTGGCTCAATAACCACCGATCATTAATGGAGAGGGAAATGTGCGTTTAGAAGAAGTGCCTTTGGCTAGGCCCTCATCTGTGTTTTTGATGCAGCTGAACTGAAATCTGAGTTGAAAATGAAGGTGCTCTGGGAACACAGGGAGATGCTCAGCCTGCCACAGGTGGTGCTCAGTGTTGCATGGATATCCCGTCTTCATTGCAGTGCCATCTGCCAGGAAGAGCACCCCTTGTAATACTTTTATTGGTGCTTTGCAAGGCATGAAATATTATGTTCACAAGGATGCTCATGCATTGGGAGTAGCTTTGCCTAAAATGATTAATATTGGCAACGATAGAGATGGAGAGACCTCAGGACTTCTCAGTCCTGGACAAGTACTCTGTCCAGTGAAGTCTTCTGCCTCCAGGGACAGAAATGGACACAGCTCCAGACAAGATGATGTGGGAAGAACACCAAAGAGCCCTGTGGCTTGTGCTTATCTGTAAATTGAATTCCTGGTGTCAATACTGATGAGTCAGTCTTGCTATGACTGCAAAGAGAGACAGCTAGGTCTGTGATGTTACAGATCAGTTCATCGCAGAGACATCGTTCGGTGGCAATTTATCATGGTCACGCTAAAGGTGTGTCGTTCATTTTACTGAATGATATTGGAAACTCAGCGTAGAGTCCTACCACAAATACACTGTGGTTCTGTAGCAAGGAACCCTGGGAAAAGAAGATTTGAGTGGTTGTTTTGTTTTTTAATTGCTTTTTCAGAATCTCTTCATCTAAGATGTGACAAATGTGAAAAAATAGAGACACATATTTTACTGTTTATAGCTTTCATTAATTTTTAAGGAATGAGTCAAAGAAATTGCTGAAAAGAACCAGTAGCAGGGGTTATATGATGAGCAGATCTAAGAGCCATTTTAATATTTGATGAGGCCAAAAGCTTCTCATCACTAACCGCCTTTTAATGGCGTTTGCCCTTTGTCTGGGTCTATGTGACTGTATGTTTTTAAGGGGCTAACTTTTCTGACTTTCTAATGAAATACCTCTCAAGATGGGCATAAAAGTGGTGATTTGGAGCTGTTCGGTTGCCATGTCAGTTTAGGTTGTGATAAGGTGGGAAACTGAATCTTTGTTTGCATCTCAGCCTGTTCGTGTGTTACTTCAGACTCTCCACATCGAGTGACTTTCTCAGTCAAAGATGATTAAAAATACTGTAAGGCACAGAGCCTTACAGCCAGTCTGCCTGCCAAAAGGGTAAACTGAACACTGAGACGAATGGACAAAAATGGGTATCCTTTCTCTGTCAATGGAGCTCTCACATGTACGTTTTTAAGTTAGGCAGAAAGCCACAGGAATTGGGTCTCTTTTTGTACATCTCTGAAACCTGTGCACAGCAACCTGCGTTGAGTCAGAAGCAAATCTGCCAGGAACTGAACTCAGGAGCACTGCCTTTCATTCAGCATCCCAACAAAAATACTCCTCCCTTGCTCGCATGATGTTTCATGTAGGGGGAGGAGACTGAGAGCTTAGTAATAGACTGAGTCTTTGAACGTTTTAGCAGGACTTTTTTTTATGGAGTCAGTAGCGAGTGTTGACTTGTGATGATGCACGCAACAGGGTGAGCTCTCAAACCCATAGTTGTGTTTTTGGTATGCTGCGCTAACACTGAATTACTGACACATAGCTGGAAATGGATGTTGCCAGTGATTTAGAAATAATGTGAACCCTTACTGAACTTCTGTTGGGTTTTCCTTCTATTTACGCTTTCAATATGAGAACATGGAGGGCATTATTTATAATGACAAATGTGAAGTCGCACAAGGAGAAATGATATTTTGAATTGACAGAATCTTGAAAGTGCAGATGTCGTTTCATAACTAAATACCTTTTCAGACAGGAAAATGAGAGTTAATCAAAAGTTAGATGTCCTTGAAAAAGCTTTCCTTTTTTTTTTTTTCCCCCCTTGGAAATATTCATAGCTAACTTGATGCAAAAGTAATCAGAATATCTATATATCTATATCACAGTATCTCAGCAGTTACATTATTTTAAAAGTACTTCAGTGAATTTCTTTATCGATGTGATCCTGTCAGAATGGGACATACCAGGAACAACAAATTGTTTAGAAACTGGTAATAAGAGATTTTTTTAAAATCTAAATTAAGGTTAGGAAACCTAATTTTAAGGAAGTATAGCATTCTGGGAAAAATGAAAAATGTTTTAAGAGGCTTCCAGAAAGGCATTCATGCAGTGAAAGTTCTCATTCCACACAAGTTGATTTGGGATAGGAGCTCATGTCTTACAAGTTGTTTATTATCAAGGGAATATATCCAAAGCACTGATTTTTTTTTTTTTTAAAGCTGCGTAGGACTGGGTAGTTAATGTGGAACAAAATTATTTGATGCATTAACTTTGGAAATTATCAGATTTATCGAAGAAATTATCAGATATATGGCATGGCTCAAAATTAGGATACTGAACCATACAGATCCTGATCCTAGGGTGTCATGCAGTTAGACCACTGTGTCTTCATGGATTTCAGTTGATATCGCTGAGTTTCTAGGAGAATCATCAGTGCAGATTTCATTTCATGAATCTTTTGTAGTTTCCTGAGTGTTAAAATAGAGAGTAAAACTGGCCTAATTTGAAGTGGGTTGGTAGGCTAAATTAATAATTTTATAGAGCTTCCTGTTCCTTGGGTAGGGTGTGCCAAGTAAATGTTAAAGATGAGTTGGCACTTGAGAAACAACATCTTTAGATATTCTGTTGAGAAACCTATCATGGTAGTGATTGTTGCTGGAGGAAGAGGAGTTTGGACTATGAATCCCTAGGTCTCAAAAGCTGCTTGAAATGGATGGTATCAGACAGGAAAAAAAGAAAAGATGGATTATCCTTATCTAATGTCTTGATACTCTTCCCTGTGAGGGTATGGAGGAATTATTTCTTACTCTTTTATTTGTTTTTCTCAGGTTGGGGGTCACACCATGCTGCCTATTCGTTGGATGCCTCCAGAGAGTATCATGTACAGGAAGTTCACCACAGAAAGTGATGTCTGGAGCCTGGGGGTTGTATTATGGGAAATCTTCACCTATGGCAAGCAGCCATGGTATCAGCTCTCAAACAATGAGGTGTGTGTAATAATACATTCTCAAACTGCATTGGGAAGACTGACATGTTAACGGTTGGTATAGTTTCTCTGGAGAAGGGACAGCAACAGATTGATTTAGTAAAAGCAAAACCCTTGATATCAGGCATTTATGGTATTGTCATGAACTTTGTGGTTGAGATTCTTCCTTTTCACTTTTTTCTCCCCAGGATGGATGGAAGTTGTCCAAGCAGAACTATACCAGTTGGAATTTAGCTTTTTCCTTTGTATGAAACAGAGTCTGCTCTGGATATTGAGAAAGACCATGAGGCAATGAAAAGGAGCTTAGCTATCTCCTGAAAAGGCTTTGGGTGATTTTAGTTCTGTATTGTACATGTCATTGTTGCAGAGCTGTTGCCCAAAACCGTTCTTGAGTAGACTGAAGTAATCTAGAGACCACTTGATTTCCAGGCAGTCACAAGTAACTCCTTTCCAGACATAAGCCACAGTGATACTTGTAAGTTTAACGAAGGAGTGAGGGAGGGAGAGGCACTGGCGCTCTGTGTAAGCAGGGTGAAAACTGAGCCTCCTTCTGAGGCGAGGTACAATTGATGGATGGTTAGAGAGAGGAGGTATGGGATTACTTCCTGGCCATCATTCCTTCACGAGTGGAAGGGGCAACATGGGTGAACTTAACGTCGGTGAAGTTACTGCTTGTCGACAACTTACACTACAGTGATTTTTCCAGATCACATCCTGCCGCTCATGTGTCTGCCTAGAAACGCAGCCCTTGGCAGAGTTGGCTGGGTGACTGCCACCAGAGAGGCTGCTGTGGCGATTAGCAGTTAACTCTTCTGTGAACTCTCTTCCCATGTAGTTAGCACAGCTGTGCTGATCTTTTTCTGTGATTTCTTGTAGGTGATTGAGTGCATCACTCAGGGCCGAGTCCTGCAGCGACCTCGCACATGCCCCAAGGAAGTGTATGACTTGATGCTGGGCTGTTGGCAACGAGAGCCTCACATGAGGCTCAACATCAAAGAAATCCATTCCCTCCTCCAGAACTTGGCCAAGGCATCTCCAGTCTACTTGGATATTTTAGGCTAAAGTCTCCTAGCATTTCTTCTTATGGGCTGCGGGAATGAATGTGTTCAACTGCCGCTGAACTCCATTAAAATGTGTTCTTAACTTTGACAGTATTAATGACAAAGTTGCGGAGAAGCTTTCAAAGGGCAAGCAACGTGCACTTCTCCATCTGTAGACACAGTATTGACTTTCTAGACATTATTGAGACGTATCTCCTATCTCTCTCTCTCTCTCTTTCAGTTTCTATAATTTTTTTTCCTCTCTCCTGTCTTTCTAATCAATTTGGCTTCTGCATTATTGTAACTCTGCATAGACAAAGGCCTTAAAAACCTATCTGTTATATCAGCAGACTCTTCAGTTTGCCCACCACGACTAACAATGCCTTGTTGTATTCATGCCTTTGATGTGGATGAAAAAAAGGGAAAAATATATTTGACTCGAACTTTGTGATTTCTGCTGTACAGCTACTGGGAGTTTCTATGGATTCACCTCAATTTTTTTGCTTCGGCATGTGGGTGGAAAAAGAAGACTGGTGAACTCTACATGAAGCTTATTCCTTGCGGAGATAAAGCTAGATGGAAAGAAGACAGTCTTGTGTCATACACTATCTGGAGGAACTAGGGGATCAGATGGCGTCCAACGCCACAAAAAAAAAACAAAACACTGAAATGATTGGATGGAAGGCAAGAGAGGGTTTAGCACTTTCCCTGAAGAGTCTTTCTGAGGACAAAAAGGATTGTTCAAGGAGGCGCTTTGCCAGCACCTTTCATTGCCAGATACAAATAAAAGGGAGCAAGGTGCTGCCTGCACTGCACACAATTGCGTTACAACATGATACACTAAACACATGCCCTTATTTTGTCTTCTGGTAGGATATTGTTATGCCACTGGTATAAAAATGTTCTCCAGCTAGTCTTTTTTAATAAAGGCTGAAGCTAGGCTTATTAATGTACAGTATTAATTTCAGGATCACATGTTTAAACGAAGGATTTTGATAAGATAGGACAAGCTGTAGATGCTGGGGCAGGTGTATCTTATACTGTGCTTGTCCAGCAGCATCTTCCTTCCTTCCTTCCTTCCTTCCTTCCTCCCTTCCTTCCTCCCTTCCTTCCTCCCTTCCTTCCTCCCTTCCTTCCTCCCTTCCTTCCTCCCTTCCTTCCTCCCTTCCTTCCTCCCTTCCTTCCTCCCTTCCTTCCTCCCTTCCTTCCTCCCTTCCTTCCTCCCTTCCTTCCTCCCTTCCTTCCTCCCTTCCTTCCTCCCTTCCTTCCTCCCTTCCTTCCTCCCTTCCTTCCTCCCTTCCTTCCTCCCTTCCTTCCTCCCTTCCTTCCTCCCTTCCTTCCTCCCTTCCTTCCTCCCTTCCTTCCTCCCTTCCTTCCTCCCTTCCTTCCTCCCTTCCTTCCTCCCTTCCTTCCTCCCTTCCTTCCTCCCTTCCTTCCTCCCTTCCTCCCTTCCTCCCTTCTTTCCTCCCTTCCCTCCCTCCAACCTTTTTCTTTTTTCAGCCGTGCAAGCAAAACTGTGCATGGTCTTTGTTGATTAATGCCCTTTGTGCAGAAACTATCACGCATCTTGTAGTAAACCTTAGTAGGCATAGCGAACTTGTAACGATATAACTTATATTTCATTAGAAGGGGCTAATTGAGGACATTAGCCATGTTAAAATGCCTTTACAATGTTACAGATACAATAGGCTGATATAACATGAATACTCTAAAGCACGGGGATCACTGGCTATGCTTGAGCCATGGCAGGGGATAGAGCTCTCTAGAGAAAACAAATTACTCTGAGGTTATGGCATACTATTCAGAGTGCAAAGACCCTGAGCTCAGCACCATGTTTGTATTGTAACTAGTGCTGTCATTACCAGCATCCACTCTTTTTTAAATAGTTTATTTTTGTTTGGATTGGCACTGTATGTGTACAACATTTGCATGGCCACTGTGTTGATGACAGCTGCATGAGCATACTTGTTATTTTTCAAACCGGAAGTTGTCAATTTCAAATTTAGAGTTAGGATTATTTTTAATATGAATTCTTACAAATGAAAACCTACCTTACCTATTCCTCAAGACTTTTGCCTCCCTCTGTGAGGGGGTGTTACTGCAAAAAAAGTGATTTTTTTTCCGTTTTCTCTTTTTGTTATTTCTTATTGATATGAGCCAAATCCAAATAGTCCTTCATCTTTGTGTTGGGGATATTTTATTTAATAAATTAAGCATTTTATTTTTGTAAGTGTTCCCGTAGCACATTTAATGTATAATTTGCTCGCATATATTATTTATTGAGGCACTTTAGGTTTTTCCTTCAGAAGCTTTTAGAGCTAGCTCATAAAGATTCTGAACATTTTCAAAAGAAAGCAGTTCACTGGACAGTGATGAAGTTTTACCCTTCTCAATGTCATTGAAAAGGCAGCATTACAAATAAACATGACAGTGTAACTATAAAGCCATACTCAGTATTTCTTTAATAAACTAGATGTTATTTCTTAACTGCTACTGAACTGGAAACACACGAAAAGCCAGAGGAAGATTCCTGCAAAATGGGCCTTAAGATTTTATCTAGACTGTCTTGGAAGTTGACAGAGAAAGCTAGATAAAGACTGAGCATCCAGTGAAACCCATTCTCTTGGGAATCTGAATGTTGTGTGTTAAAGGAATTTGAAATTGATTTTCAAATTAACAGTGGTGGAAAAGAAAGGTGTCAGAGTCCACTCGTACTGTGCAGAGGGAGGAGGCTGCAGGTGGTGGAGGGGGTGCTAAGTTTTTACCTGCTGTATTCTGTCTTAGTTTCTTATGAGCTGAAGAAAAATGCATCCGAGATGCTTCTTTTATTGGAAAGCAGGCTCCAGCCTGAAAGCAAACAGGTGGGTTTTGCAAGCACTGAAAGAATGTATACCAAAAATAACCACAAAACCCTGAAAATGTGCTTAGTGGCATCTTCTTTTTGATTTACTAGTGAGACTATTAGAGTAATTTCAGAGGATAACTAGTGTTAGAATGCATTGTGCAATAACATAGCAGTATGTTAAACTTCTAAAGGACCAAATGTTCTACAGAGCCACCAGTATGGATAACCTTGACCTATATCATTAATGTTCTTGGTAGTGCATAAAATGTATAATCACAGTAGACAAGCTATAAACTGTAGCTATTCATAGTTTGCGTTCATTCATGAAAAGGGGGTAAGTGTAGCAGAGTGAGCAGAGAAGAGGAAGAAATATGTTCAAATCACAGCGAAGGGTGAGTATATGTGCATATTCATGCTTGCACTGTCGGCTAAATCGTGTACACTGAGTAAATATGACAATCAGGCTCATTTAAAAAGTCTTTCGGGACTGTGCTATGAACTGATCATATATATAATATATTATATATGTGTGTTTGCATATGGCATATATATATACACACACATAGCATATATATGTATGCCTATGTCTGTTGTATTTTATTTATATATGTGCAGACATGCATGCACATTATGTATGGGCTGTGTGTATATGTATAAATTTACATACGCCTACGTTATTACAAATGATGATTAGAGTGCTATTAATAAATTGATAAAGTCTGCTGAGTAACCAATTTTTTTTTCTTTTGATATTATTTCTTTTTCTATGTTTGTGAGATTCAACTTTTTAACTGGTGTGCAGCAGAGGCAGTGCTAGAATGCCAGATATGTAACAACGAGCACTTTTTTTTCCCCAGATGATTGTTTAAAAAGGTTTCTTCCGTTCCCATCTCACTTGTTGATTTCTCACAATGAAATGAACAGACTGGCTTCCAAGCCTGGAAAGCAGTTTGTTTTACTGTCATTTCTGGGTTTGTGCTATTGTTGTTTTATTGTCCTAGAATAACAGTGCAGCTTCATTAGCATTTTATACTCGTCTGCAGTAACGAAATAATTCCAAGAATGAGCTGGCCTATTCAGACTGCAACACGACTTGTAGGACAATGAGAGCGCCAAAATTCAGCAGTAATAACAGCATTCGCCACACTCTGTCCTTCACTCTCAATAGATCTGCAGAAGTTGGGACTGACTGTGGAGAGCAGATACTTGTAAAGCAACAGCACACCATGATGCATGATGGAGTGTGCCCTTTTTAGAAGGACTTAATTGCTTTTGATTTGTAAAACAATATATCTATATATTGTCTACAGTTTAATAAGTAACTGCCAATTTTTTCTTTCTTTTTCATTCTTTCTTGCTGTTTGTTTTATCACTTTCCTTCTTTCTCTTTTCCTTTCTTTCCCTTTATCCTTCTTTCCTTCTTTTCTCATGCTTTCTCTCTTTCTCTCTCTCTGTACCCCTCCCACCTTTCTAAGAAACTGTTTTTGTTGTGGTTGATGTAGACTTCTACAAAACACTTTAAAAAGAAATTAAATGACCCAATAAAATTATCAGATCACTGGATGACTAAGGTACAATGCACATGTGTTAGAACAAGTCTGTGTCTGGGTTGTTGCAGCCTGTAACTGAATTTTAAATACTGCTATAAAATGTGAGGGAGGGGAATGGGGAGGGGCTCAGGAACAGATCGGGGTTTCTAATCAAAGATGAAGGTTTTGATAGCACAGGAAGTTGTATGTTCTCATCACGAGGGCTGGGATGAACCACTGCTGCTTTGAATCAAGAGGTCCTTTAGAGCCTTAGTTAAAACATCTTTATTTTTGGGGGGGGGCGGGCGAGCGGTGTATGCTACATTCATCACAAATATGAAGCAAAAAAAAAAAAAAAGTCTACATGTTGCAGGGAAAACACTGTGAATTTCACAATAGCAACCAAGTGACTATTTTGCCATCTTTTAAACATACGTCTCAGGAGAAGAAATGGGAAATGATGGGTGTGTTATTTTACCGTCTATGCATTCTAGACCAGGTCTGTGGGGCTTTTTTGTTTGCTTGTAGAAGGTTCTGAGTGATGACCGACTGGTATTTTATAAACACTGAATACTTTGGGCAAGGATGATAGAAGCTGCTAGTAGTGAGGCCATTTGATTGGAGTATGTAAGAAAAGAGAGGTCAAATCGAATCTTTCCAGAGGCCTATATCTTGCAGCTTATATGTATCTTTCTGTAACTTAAAGAAAAGCAGCTAAGAATGTTTTATATACAACTAATTTAATTCAACATTGATGTTTGATTGAATCACCAATAGAGAGAGAATCAATTAATTATGAAATATTTGTCCCAGCCCTGCTCTCCACCTATACTTCATGTATATATATATTTCTAGATATCACTCTCTTTGTCACTTAAGATAAAGAGGAAGATATCTACATATAAATATAAGTCTCTATATTGTCACCAAACTGTGACCTGGTGTGTAGAGCTATCTTTCTCCTTTCTTTTTTTTTTTTTTTTTCTTTTTTTTAATGTGATGTCTCCGTGGAAATATTTAGTGGTTCTTGTTTTGCAGTTTGTTAT